GGTTCTCACCGCCGCTCGATTCATGCTGCGACGACGCTTCGAGGAACGAGTGCAACCACACTCGGTCCTCGACTTACGTAAGTTTCGACTTTACGTATGATATCACCTTGGGACTGTCGCCACGAGGGCGGCGCAAAAGGATACACTTGCAACCCCGGCAGGTTTCTAAAAGAGCGGAAAAAAGCTCGGCGCAAAAGTAATACTATTTTGGAAAGTAAACTATTTTATCTTGAGTGTCAAACGTTTTTGATTGCTTTTCAAAATAAAGAGAATTTATATAAGATAGCTAAATTATTTTCCTATGATACTTGGTTTTGAAAAACTGGTGTAAATATGTAAAAGATATTCATGTTTCTACAAATATTGAACTGCAAAATATAATTGGTTTATTTATTCTTCTTTTTCTTCTTCAAAACAAAAATAAATATTTAAAATTTTTATTTAACAATAAAATATTTATAAAATAAACTATAAGAGATTAATAATAATTTTAAGATAAATGTTCTGCAAAATAAATGAAATAATGGAAATTTCTCTAAATGTTAATTAAAAGAATGAAATTTTAGTGTGATACAAAATATAATATTATATCATTAAAATATATATCTAATCAAATTTTTACATAAATATTTGAAAAATTATAGTATAAATATTATAATTTATTTGTATATAATTGATATAAATATATAGATAAAGATGTCTGTATATAGCTATTTTTAGAAAAGTTAAGTTTTTGTCAAAAAAAGAAAGGAAAAAAGAGATAGAGCATGGAACACACACACCTACGCATACAAAGTTATTCACCTTTCGGAAACACACACATTTGCCTTCTTCGATTAAAGTTTTCATTAAAGTTTTCTAAAATTCTCTTATCCCTCCCTTGTAAGTTATACGAATGTAAGCGTACGCGGAAGTTTAGCGGAGTTTCCACGTTACTAAAGTACTATCTGTATGTACTATCTATATGTACTACTTAAAACGCATAGATACGAGCACAAGATCAGCGGACAGATGTACTCGTCAGTTCCCTTTCCTGTTCAGGCCCAAATAGGGTAGAGGTAGAGAATCAAGTAACTCGGCGCCTACCGGCAACGGCAATGGCAGTAAACCTACTCGTCTCTATTACAACTTGATATACCCAGCGCATACATGCGATACGTATTCGCAGTAGGAGTAACAGATAGCGAGTATCACGAAGCGGCATCTCGACGAAACTCGCCGTCGTAGTTCGCAAAACAAAAATGACGAGGCTTGCAGTCGTTGAAACGCTTTCGTGTGACAAGGAACGAAAAATAATAGGCATAAAATGCGATTTGAAGAGAAAATCTTGTATGCAAACTGAATCTGAGATAGTGAAATATAGCCATGAATATTTTGCAACAAATTCTTCAATAAAATAGAGAATAAAGAAAAACTTAATTTTAATCATTTCTATCATTTAATTATTAATCTAACGATTTTCTATGTTAAAAACAAATTATGTAATGATTATACGAAATTTTTGCATAACTTATAACATATGTATTATTTAAAAAATATTTTTTCTCTTGATAGAAAATTATATATTAAAGATAAAAAATAGTAAATATAATAAAACATCTCTTTACTTCAAAAATTTATTTGAAAAGAATATTTGATATTCTTTCATAATTAAATAAAAAAAAAAAAGGTCGGTACATATATTACTTTGTTAATGCGTTGCCATAAACAATTAAAAAAATACGAGAAAAAATGCATGCTGCATATATATCTTGTTTTAATCTTAGTTCTGCAAATATGTACTTTGATACAATTTCTCACATATATAACAGTTTTCATACAAAATTTTTATCTAAACACGCGATGATTTTTTCCATTTCCGTGGAGTCGCATAAGGCACTTAACCTTGCATAAGTGCATAGTATTGCCATCTAAACCATGTCAACCGTATTGCGTAATGTACCGACTGCAAGCCCATCATGAAATAAAAGGAAACTTACCGACAGTGTAAAAGATGATGAAGGGACCTGCAACAATTCGCACGTCGTGCAACTTTCTCTCTCTCTCTCTTCTACCGTTTCTGGCATTGTACATACAACACTGCATCTAATGTGGATAATGTATTTTTTTCCATGTATGTTTTCATTTATTTTTAATCGTGAGTTGAACTGATTGCTTTGAGATTCGAGTTTTAGTACCGGATAAATGCTTCCACTGTTCCGGATTCAAGATTTACAAATTTTCGGGGAGAAAAAATCCGTCGATTCTCTAGTTTTATTATAATTCTTTAACTTAACTCTCTCTCTTACTGTAAATAAGCGTTCCGGATTTGTGTTAATTATGACGAAAGAAAAAAAAGAAGAGAGGGGAGGAGGGTATTAGCGAGAAATCAGCGGGTTAAGGGTTTATTAGTTAGCTCCAATAATAACGTTATGCGAAAATAAACTGATCTTAAAATAGCGCGCGTCCGAGTCTCTCTACACGTCAGCAGAACGGGAAAGGGAGAGAACGAAGGCAGGTGCAATCATATAAAGTTAATAAGCAAGGTGCAACTCTGCTATACAAAATAGTCAGTGAGAAGGTGCAATTTGAAAAAGTCTGAAAAAATGAGAGTCAAGTATCAAGGATGTAAACGCGTGCCTGTGAGCAAAGGCACCACTATTTTGTACGGAAAACCGTTTGCCTATGTATTAAGATCGGCGATGCGTGACGAAAGATGCGATCATTGCCTACAAAGGTAAAATTGTTTTATCATATATGTATAAAAGAGAAATAATCTTGATAGAAAGTCGTCTCGTCCTTGTTATTCCTTCAGTCCTGATATAAGTCTTATTCTACTATCTATTTGAATTGTTAAATTTTTATTTGTGACGTCTTTAATTTATTGGCATTACTCCTAACAAAATTATTATATGTGTAATTTATATGGATATATATTTTTTCCAATTTTTTTTCTGTTAGGGTGACAATTGGCATGTCAATTTATCAAATAAATATATTGTAAATGTAACTTATATAAGTTTTATACAGAGTTATATGCAATGTATATCTTGACTAAGAAAATATATCATATTTGAATTTTGTGTATTAGCTATTCACAAACTTTTCTGAGATAATTGAAAATTTATTAAATGCAGAATATGAAGATCAACTTAGGTAAATGCCATGTTTTGTCAACCTAAAATTCTCATTACTATAAATAGATATATTAAGTACTACTTTAACTGCATTTTTAAAATTTGTTTATTTTATTTCTTCTACAATAATAGTGAATATATTTTTATTTTACGTTAAATAAAAGTATGAAAATGTAATTAAAAAAAAAATCTAGATGAAGATTTTTCTTTTTTAATTATACTTTTCTATACTTTTTATGCGTGTAAAATACAAATATAAATATGTAAAAGTTTTAAAAGATGAAAAGAAAGAGAAAGAAAATAAAATTGTAAAAATACAACTAAAAAGATATACAAATTATTATAAGGTCTCTTTAAATTCAAATCGCGCGCACACAAGTTGAAATCTTTATACGTATGTATATATATGTATATATATATATATATATAATTCATTTGGAGATTATCCGAAATTATGTCACGAATGACCTAGTTGAAAGACATAATAACAAAAATCCAATATTATAAAAATTACAGATTAGATAGAACATCCCGGTATTTCGTTTCGCTGTAGTTTCGCAACAAAATAATGTATCTACATTAGGTTAGGTTAGGTTATTATTGGGAACAGAAAGCTTGAATGTTTCATCAAAGTCTTTCGCGTTTCTGCGTTTCTCTCTCTCTCTCTTCTACCGTTTCTCTCTTTTCCTATTTCGCGCCGAGATCCACTTATTTCTTGCTCTGCGTGTCCTTTGCATCTTCTGTACATAAAGAAAAATGAGAATATTAATTGGTTGGATGTAAAATATCGAAATTCGAGAGATTCAGCATCGACGAAATATTACCACTGCAGACTCGCATCCTAAGAATCCGTTGGACGAATTCTCGTATCCATCAAGTGAGCTCATCGGATTTTAACGCGTTACGGCAAACGTACGACACTTTACAAAACACTCGCGACACGTTTCCGCGCCTGAACTTCACTTTTAGACGATAACACTCACGAGAAATATACGAAGCGATTCGAACGTGATTCCACGATCCGCGACCCGTTCCGCGATCAACCGCCATTTGAAATCTATTGAGAGAAGTGAATCGCGATTCTCGAAGTATCGGAATGGTCGAAACAGCGTGAACGCAGCGCGAATCGCAGTATTTATTAACCAGTGTTTATTATTCTAGATTCTAGAGATATTTTATAGATGTCTAAAATGATGAGAAAAAAGTATTGCGGCGCAAAAAATGTTCTTTCTACATACAAAAATAAATAAATAATAGTTTCATAACGTAAATTATAAAACTTGAACAAAAAATATCTTGTTCATTGTAATATATACATATATATGTATATGTATATATAATTCTCGCAATGTTAATGATAGATATATATATATACAGAATGATTCGTACAGCATTATGACGCCGTGTGCTCTCGTAATTTATATTCGTTTACGTGTCTCGAAGATAGCGTTTGCAAAACTATCGAGAATGAAATTCAAATCTTTTCCAAGATTGAATTCGACGCGGGCGCCAGTTTTCACGACCACGTACGCCGGAAGTGACGTGCCCATAGCAGCCAGCCGATCTCCACATCACTTGGGAGCAACGGATTGCCTCCTTGAGTGTCCCACTACGCACACATATGATGTAACCCTCCCCCTCACTCCCCCCGCGGATTTCGTATAGCGGCTAGCGCCACGCAGCGCGGCGCGCGCCGCGCCACTTGTCTGCGCGCACGTGTATACGTCAGTGTGCGTATGGGAAATTTTGCGGTTTTTTAATAAAACACACAACACACAATGGTGGTCTCGCAGGAGGTGCTTTCGAGGGCGGAGGAAATCGCCGACCAGGTGAGTTTTTTCAGCGAGATCGCGCCGTTTTTCCCGTCGTCGAACGACTCGCGATCCCGTCGTATCCACGGAGAGAGAGAGAAAAACGGTACGAGTTAAATCGCTCGTTCCCCGTGAACGAGCGAGCCGCGCTCCTGTCAACGTCATCGTCGCCCAGTATATTCCCATATTTTCGCGCGTATCCGCGATTTCTCGCGGATTATCTGTCACAGCCGTGAAACGCGCGGCTCGATTAAGCGATCGCGATTCGCGATTCGCGATGCACGTTCTATCGTTGTTCGCTAAAATTGCAGGTTATGAATTCCACAGGTGTATTCGGAAACCCTGAGCGACGATAGTACGTGAGCTGTTGATGCAAAAGTGAGCTATGTCTCCGCTTTTTCCTTTTCTTACCGATCACATAGATATCATTTAGACGAACAGATGTTCAACAAGATTCAATATTTTCACACTTGCATGTGTGAAATATACTCTATAATGATGACTGTGTGACTTTTCTCTCTCATATCTCTCTTATTATCTATTAGCATTTTATTTTATCTAGGAAGATGATCAAACAAATTTTATTTGCTGTTGAGAATGTTATATTTAAGTGGATTTCTTTCTTTAACGTTTACAGTTTTGTCAGACATATGGATCATTATCCACTTTCACAGACCTACTTTTCAGATATTCATATATGATAATGTAACATGTTATACACTGATCAGCAATTTTAAAAAATGTATGGAAGAGAATTCATATTAAATAACAAAAGTAAAATTTTTGATGAAAGAAAATAAAAAATTGTCAAAAAACAGCTGATACAAATATAATATTTCAGATACTTTGGCGCTTAAAGAGTTTCTAATAAAATCTCTCAAATTCCATTTCTTCCCTTATCCATTCCTTAATATGACTTTATCAAGAGACACAGTAGTATAATCATCATTAAATTAAATAAAAAAGCACGACATATTATTAAAAATATTTATTATTGTGACAGGTAATTCGCAATGGAAAACACGTGCTTCCAACGTTAGCGCGATTGTGTCTCATTGCTACCTTCCTAGAAGATGGCTTGCGAATGTGGTTTCAATGGACCGAGCAACGAGAGTATATGGACGCATCATGGGGTTGCGGAAAATTTCTAGCCACTGTCTTCGTCCTCGTAAATCTTATTGGACAACTCGGTGGATGTGTTATGGTGATTAGTAGATGGCGAGTCAGCATAGCCTGCAGCGTTTTGTTCTTCATTGTGATTCTACAGACTATTGCGTACAGCATTCTATGGGACATGCAATTCCTATTCAGGAATCTAGCGCTAATAGGAGCACTTCTACTGGTGCTGGCAGAGTCGCGAGTTGAGGGTAGATCGCTCTTTGCTGGTGTGCCTAGTCTTGGTGATAACAAACCTAAGAATTTACTGCAATTGGCTGGCCGAATTCTGTTGGCATTCATGTTCATTACGCTGATTCGCTTCGAGATTTCTTTTCTACAAATCCTCCAAGACATTGTCGGCAGCATCTTCATGGTATTGGTAACAATTGGCTACAAAACTAAGCTGAGCGCATTACTACTTGTCGTCCTATTGACTGCATTGAACTTCTATCATAATGCATGGTGGACCATTCCTGACTATAAGCCGCTCAGGGATTTCCTCAAATATGATTTCTTCCAGGTAAGTTTGTCTGATTTTATTAATCATTTATTCATTTATACATAACTAAAATATTGAATACCTCTCTGTAATATTAATAAAATATATATTTGTTACCAAACAGAGAGGGTATTAGCCTTTTTACTTCTACACAAAATGCACTTTTTATTTATGCTAAAAGTAATTTTATTTCTGCCAAAAGTAATTTTATACGTATGTATATATATGTATATATATATATATATATATATAATTCATTTGGAGATTATCCGAAATTATGTCACGAATGACCTAGTTGAAAGACATAATAACAAAAATCCAATATTATAAAAATTACAGATTAGATAGAACATCCCGGTATTTCGTTTCGCTGTAGTTTCGCAACAAAATAATGTATCTACATTAGGTTAGGTTAGGTTATTATTGGGAACAGAAAGCTTGAATGTTTCATCAAAGTCTTTCGCGTTTCTGCGTTTAAAATGAGTGACGATATACAAAAAAGAGGAACAATAATTTTTACTAGCAAACCGTTTGTCTTTGCTCTTAATTCGAAACACAGAATTACTCGATGTGACAATTGTTTGAAAAGGTATGAAAGAATAAGAATAAAATTGCGAGATATTTGTGATTTTATCATTTTGTAATTATTTTATATTAATTAATTATTTAGGAATAAATTGTTCTTATTTTATGTATGATAAAAATAAAATATTGTATAGATAATAAGACAAATAAAATGTTAGATATAAGTATATATTTGATGTATGCTATCATTTTATTTCATCAACATCCATGATATAATTTATTGCAGCGGCAAATTATTAAAGTGTTCGGCTTGTCAGTATGTATATTATTGCAACCGCAGTTGTCAAAAAGAATCGTGGTCGATACATAAGGCAGAATGTACACATTTGAAGAAGGTATTGCCAAAGATTGTGCCAGATGCAGCACGGCTTATGGCACGTATAGTTCTCAAGCTCAAACGAGGTGGGGCTGACGAAGTAGGCTATTATACTGAAAAAAATTTCAGAAAATTCAAAGACTTAATGTCACGTAAGTATTTTTCTAATCAAACAATTTTAGAGAATATATGTGAATGTGTAACCAACTTGTATGTTTGGATTGTAGATTATTCAAATCTAAAAAAAGATGCAAAGGGACTGGAGCATTTCACCACATTATGTGCAGTTTTATATGAGTTTCTTGGGAAAGAAACAATACCTAACATCGCAGAGTTGATGGGTATTTATGGCAGAATGTGTACTAATTGCTTTAACATATTAGATCTTAATATGAACAGCATTGGAGCTGGTATTTATCTGGGAGCATCTGTGGTGGATCACAGTTGTAAACCCAATGCAGTTGCTGTTTTCGAAGGGACTACTATCATTATCAGGACAATAATGGATCTTCCCTCTTTGGATTGGTCACAGGTAGATATTGATGAAATAAAATACAAAGATTAATAATGCTGAAATAAACTAAAAAGATTAATAGCGCTGAATTTAACTTCTCTATGAATATTATATAGTGACTTTTAAATATTCAATATAATTGGTTCTATTTATAATAAAAAATTAATGATCAAAAGTGAATTAATATATCAAATGTCTTCTTATTTTGAAATTTGTTGATATAATCTTATTTTACATACAGATAAAAATATCATACATCGATTTACTCAATTCTAACAAAGACAGACGTGAAGAATTGTACAATACATATTATTTTTGGTGTGATTGCGAAAGATGTAAGCAAGTGGAACCTATGGCTGAAGCAGCCGCATGTCCAAATTTATCATGTGACTCTTCATGTCTAATTGAAGCTGACAATTGTGAAAAATGTGGTACAAAAATATCAGAGGAATTTAAAAACACGTTTCGAGAAGTTACTGACTTTACTCTTCATCATTTAGAAGAAATGAAAGCTATGGCTTGTATCCTTTAAATATTTATATATTAAGAAAGCTAAATAATATTTAGAATTTTAGAGTAAAATATTTATCTAACAAAAATAAAATATATTCTTGATATTTATAATTTATCCTTATTAATGATAATAGATCTTGATGTTAGTAAAATATGTTTGAAAAAGCAGAAGAATATACTGCACAGATTTAATATACAGCATATTCGTACTCTGGAAACAGCTCATATTGCAGCTATGAATCTAGAATATTGGGAAGATGCAGAATTATATGGCAAAGAACTTATTCCAGGATATTTGTGAGTATATCATTTGTATAATTTGCATAGCTAATTAGATAAATCTTTTTTATTTGAAATTGCTTTTTATATATTAATATATATAGAAATTGTTATTATTTTATGTTTTTACTCTTCTATTTCATTTATATTAAAATATCATAATGAATAAACAGAATTTATATGTGACTGAGAATAATTAATGTATCTCTCTATAATTAAATTAATGTATATCAATAATTAATACTAATATTAATATATTAATATAATTGTAATTTTTTTGTATAATTTACTCCCTCTGTCAAATCTTTTGTACTTTATTAGTTCTTTATTATCTAATCTATGATCATTATATATACACAAATACACACATACATATATGCCTATATGTGTTTATAATATATTGTTCTCTATTAGCAAAAATCAACAATTTTGATATATAATTTATTAATTCCTTATATATTTGTATTTCATTGTAGACACTTTCAGTCATCGGAGGTCTTCTGATGATAGTCTCTCTAGGTCCAGGCGGAGTATCGATGGATGAACATAAAAAAGAATGGTAGAAACAATCCTATTTATGGATGTGGTGGATACATCATCAGGTTGTTATCACAAAAGTTAAAACGAATTACTGTCTCCCATTCCTGTCCCTTTGTACGCTCAAAGAAATCTTAAACCATTGTGTGTTAAACGACAAGAAATTCAGTATGTCGATATCACCGGCCCAATGCAATCATTCTATGTGACTAATCGGTTAATCGAGATTCGTATTTTAACACTATGACGAAAATAATAGTATAGAGAAGAAAAAAGATAAGCACATACAGATAAAGACTATATTATCGATAATGGCATTGTACATACAACACTGCATCTAATGTGGATAATGTATTTTTTTCCATGTATGTTTTCATTTATTTTTAATCGTGAGTTGAACTGATTGCTTTGAGATTCGAGTTTTAGTACCGGATAAATGCTTCCACTGTTCCGGATTCAAGATTTACAAATTTTCGGGGAGAAAAAATCCGTCGATTCTCTAGTTTTATTATAATTCTTTAACTTAACTCTCTCTCTTACTGTAAATAAGCGTTCCGGATTTGTAAAAAAAAATGTTTTATAGTGGTTAAGAAATAAACATTACAATATTGATATTTATATATAATTGAAGACAATATTGATATTTATAGATAATTGTGCTCAATTTTTAGATTATATTATGGAGAAATACATCCCTTGACAGGATTGCTATATCTCACGATTGGGAAGATACAATTGCACTTGGAAAAACCAAAAGAAGCACTTAAAGTATTAAAAAAGGCAAGTGAAGTGTTAATGATAACACATGGTGATCAGCATTCCTTAATGAGAGAAGAATTAAAACCTTTACTCTACCAAGCTATTATGGCATCGAATACAAACATTAACGGGGTGTAGCAATTTCAGAATTTTGTAATTTTTTTAGTAATAAATAATTTTCTTGATATATAAACTTGTGTGTGATCCATTCTCTCCTTCTCCATATTGCTTCATTTTGGCGAAATATCATTTTTTATTATGTGATAATAGGTATATATTAATACATCTGTTAAAATATATGTTTATATATTGCATTGCATACTTTTGTATTATTTCTATAATATTTTTTCTCAGACTTATGTCCGTTAAGTAGATTTTCGACTTGGGGTCTGACACGGTGAAAAACTGACCGGGGATCTGTCAAACCCACGGTCTGACATTTAATTCAGTCTAACATTTAATGCTGTCGCACGTATCAAGTATCAAGAAGCGAGCAGCATCGCTTGTCGCCTTCGTTGCCGGTTTGGTAGAAAAGTGACAGAAAATAGTATATCTGTCCTTTTCTGCTATCCGAAGTTAGTCGAAGCCCGAAGCGCCGAGCTCACATATACTCGGTCTTGCTTGTGTACGTTATCCCCTCCACTACGGTTGCGTGTTGCTTGAGTCTTGAGTCTCCATTCTGGCTTTTAGCATAACTGAATCAGACTTGTCAGGTCAGAGCCGCATCCAACAGTGAGAGGTTTGCTCCATTCACGAAACTCGGAGTATAACATGTGGTAAGTATAATTGCTCGCGATTTCTCTGCGATACGAGTTTCATGTGAATTTGATGAATCTTCGAGAGGATCTTGCTTGTTTACGCACCTAGAGATTTGCCAAACGATTTTCTGACGATAATATCGTTAAAAAAAATACACTTAGAATGTCAAGTCTCGTTCGCGAACTTCAAAATGGGCGTTAAAATATTTTTGCTCTAATATTTCAGAATATTATAATCTATGAATATGATATATTTCTTTATAGTTTATATATGATGCATAGAATTTACAATAAAATGTAATATATAATTATTCTTATAGAATAATTGAAAGATCTATTTATGGTTATTATTACTTGTGCGATATGTGTATTTTATTTCATGGAAATATTCTTATTAATATATTTTAATAATCCAAAATTATGTAATTTTTACTTGCAATCATTAAAATATAATAAGAATATTTATATTACTATTATGCCAATATTTAGAATTACATTTATACTACATAATATAAATATATATATAACATCATATTAATTTCTCTCCAGGCATCAACATTAATTCTTTGAACAATTGCTTCTTTGAAGATCACAATGTTTTCTGCTATTAAAAGATTAACTGGCAAATCGGATGGTATCGGCAATGTGTCTCCTAGGCCGGCCCATCAATCCATGCCGACAAATCTTCAGAGAAAGTTTGCCAAAGGTGTACAATATAACAGTAAGTGTGCATATGTATATGTTTTTGAATGTAAATAATAGAGTAGGATATCAATTGTAATATGAACTTTACACATTATTTTTAGTGAAAATAATAATAAAGGGAGACAGGAATGTAGGAAAGACATGTTTATTCTATAGACTGCAAGGGCAAAAGTTTATCGAAGAATATATACCCACGGAAGAGATACAGGTGGCTAGTATACAATGGAATTACAAAGCCACTGACGATGTGGTAAAAGTGGAGGTATGGGATGTCGTAGATCGTGGCAGACGTCGTCGGAAATTGGAAGGTCTAAAGATGGATAATACTCCGACTAATGCGGAAAACGTTATCGAGGAACCAGCTCTAGATGCAGAGTTTCTTGACGTTTACAAAGGCACTAATGGCGTTATTATCGTGATGGATATCACGAAGAGTTGGACATTTGACTATGTTCAACGAGAATTGCCGAAAATACCTAGCCATATTCCTGTTATTGTTCTTGGCAATCACTGTGATATGTCGCATCACAGAACTATTACCGCGGATCACGTGACATACTTTATAGACACGCTACACGAAAGAACCGCACAAGTAATTAAATTACTTATTATTATGACCATTACATGTCTTACACTATTAGTTAATATTTTACTATGAATGAATAAATTTAAACTTGATGTGTCTTTAACAAATTTAATTAGAATCATTATTTATATCAGAATTTTTTAAACTTGTTTTATTCTAAATTTATAAATTAATTTTTGCAGGTAAGATATGCGGAATCATCGATGCGAAATGGCTTCGGTTTAAAACTATTGCACAAATTTTTTAATCTACCATTCTTGCAACTGCAACGCGAAACGTTGTTGAAGCAGCTTGAGACCAACGAGGAGGAAACGCGTCTGACCATTCAAGAACTCGATCTCTTCCAGGATAGTGACGACGCCGATTATAATAAATTCCTAGATAATCTTGTGAACCGGAGGAGAGCTCTTGCAGATTCAGTATCTGCTAGTAATCTAGTCTCAAATGTTGTTCCATCATCCATGAGTAGCTATCATCTTGCACTTTCCAACAATGCGAACTTCCCGAATGCCACCGGAGAGGTCAAAAGGTCGGCTTCAATGCCCGGTCCAATTGGCGGCGGAACTCCGATCCCAATGAAAAGTTTGGAGATGAAATCATTACCGAAAAAAGAGAGCTCCGCGATAAATACGTTGAATAATTTATCAAATTCTATGAAAGCTTCGCAAATTGTGACATCACCTATTTTGCAAAATTCTGCTGCTAAAATAGAAGTAGCTAAACCAGCTGAATCCATCAATGACAATGGCGAGAGAAGAGATTCGCTCAATCGTCCGCCATCACTCATGTCCAAAATCTTTGGCCACAAGAAGGAAGATGAGACAGATGGAAAACTACCAAATGTGAAAAATCTTAACTTAAATGCACCATTGACTAGTGTTGAAGACTTTGTGCCAGATGATGGAATGCTGGATAGATCGTTTTTGGAAGATAGTAGCCAGGTCTCGCCACAGAAGGTACAGCAAGAAGAAATAGATTCTGAGAGGTAAATAAAAAGCTTTATAAATTATTAAGAATATATAATTAGTATTATTACTACGAATTCTCTTATACTTTTTGATATATATCATCAAAATTATAATCAATACTAGTACTGCTAATAATATAATTTTATTATACAGTGACACGGAGACTGCAAATCCTTTAGTAGCTGGTTATGAAGATGACTTGTCATCCATTGAAGAAGTAGCTTCTCCTATACAGCCAAAATTAGCAGAAAATCCGCTGTCTAAACAAAAGCATAAACTAGAACCGCTATCAGGTCCAGAAATAAATATTGAGAAGTCAAATCAAATCACGAAACGCGACTCCATTTCTTCTATAGAGCAAGAATTGCATATTTCGAATAATTACGAGCCGAACGAGCAGCCAGACATGAATTCAGACGTTATTGATAACTGGTTGCGACGGGATTCCAAGTGGCGGCAGAGTCCTGAAGGAGGTGAAGACGTGAGCAGTACCAGTACGAGGAAGGACAGATTAGAATTGAGCGATAAGAGTCTAGACGTCAGCATGACAAGCTCCAATGTTCACCTGGAGCTGCTTGATGACACTAGCATGCGTCATATAAACTCTAATGCCAGTAGTCCAGTGATGAAGGAAAGAAAGAAACATAAAGAGAAGGTAATTGTTTTGTACAATCCATAAAAGATTTTTATAAAAGATTTTTGGGGTTATATTGAGATATATTTTTCTCAACTTTACTATTACTTGATTGATTTAAGCTTGCTTTCCATATGGGTTTTTCTTAAATTTTTTTTTTATGTTATTGATTTTAGGGGGATGAGAAGGAGAAGAGGAAAAAGAAGAAAGCAAAAGACAAGGATAAGGATAAGGAAAAAACGGAAAAGACTGAAAAGAGAAAGAAACGCTCATCGCACCGATCGAGGGACGAGAACAGAGAGCGAGATGAACTCGAAGAGTTTTTAAACGGCTCAGCTACAAAAATCGGTGTTGACGTTGCTTACGAGGCGATTTAGCATTCCAACAAAATTATCGGTAATGTTTTTTAAAAGCCACGCGCATCTTGCAAAAAAGAAAAAAAAGACTTTGCTCCATATAAGAGATTCCTCGATGTGATGTATGTTATGCTATTGAAAACAAAGGGAAGAAGATTATTATTGGTGCAAAGGAATAATGTTTCGGATTGCAATTAATTTATAATATATATTTATTTTCCACAAACCTAGTCGTACGTGCGCTTTTGGACTGCGTTAGCTCGCATTTTAATCGGGCTCGGTTTGCTGAAGGTTGTAGTTTTACGGAAGATATGTTTTAACAATCAAGTCATATTGCACTTCTGATCTTAGATTTTTGACAATTTTTAACGTGTATTTGAAAAATTGTAAATCATGAAGAGTTTCTTGTATGAATGGATATAATATGTGAATATCTTTTACCCAGTATGATAAAGTGATGTAATAATTATGTGGCGTTGCAATGGTATACTTACAGAATTATTTAATTATATTTTAATTTTCTATATTTGTTTTTTTGTATTAAGGTTTATATATATTTATCGTTGATATCACATACATTTATAACTCCATCTTTAACTTAGCATACATTGTTCTTGTTAAACATATAATTTAAAATAAAAAAGTTATCCCTCTTATATAAGAAAGTGTTATATTAATGTGTTGTATTTTTTTATAACATATTGTATAGCATTGTGCAGTCATTGCAGCTTCATGTTAATAAATGTATATAAACAAATTGAATCTCTCTTATCTTATTATTACCAATGTGTTATACTTGTCAGTTTATAAGTTAATTTATTATAATAAAAATTATAATTAGCTTTAAGATCTCTGCAAAATATGCAGAAAAAGAAAGAAAACAAGAGAACAGAATCTTTGTCTCTTTCTAATGAAAAAAGTAGGGATAGCCAGAACAGCTGACATAAATAGCAATCATATGAGCAGATGAGCTGCGTTCAAAAACGTCACCTTAGTTTGATTATTACTCGGAATCACTGTTCAAAAACTTTAGAACATCTATATAACTATACCCCCACTATACCTATACTACTCTAGATTGTATAACGAATAAAAAAGAAAAAGATATCCTATTATCTCTCTTTTTTTATTTGATCTTCGCCATTAAACATTGATAAGAATAATTGCTCTGCCTACGGTACGTTCGGAAACATCACTCATGTGCACATATGATCTTTGTCCAATGTTTGATTAGCTGCGCGTGATGTTTTGCTATTCTAGTATATAATGGCTAAAATCATTTTTCGGTGCCACGGTAAAACAACCGGTCGGTACATGTACGTGCTAGATGATCCATAATTGTGGATCAAAATTGCGGAGAAATATTATGGATTTATTAATGTCTTATTAATTGCGCGTGATGTTTTGCTATTCTAGTATATACTACGGACAGCGATAAATTATTACAATAAATTTTGCTTTTATTTTTTTATTATTCTTGGAACAAAAGTATTAAGTATTTTAAGTAATATCAAATTATGCTTTTTACAGTAGTGCGTATTGATGCACATTAATATACAAATTTATATAAGTTTAAGTAATTAAAACAATAAGATAATTAATACTACAAGTCTTTTGAAAATAAACACATGACAAAATAAATATATACGTTCCGCTTAAAACTATTTTCGCTCGAAAAATAAGATTCTTTGCCCTCCACTAAACGCTTCGGAGCGTTAAAAATAGTGTCTAATCGGAGTTTTATTGAATACATACAAACTTTTATAAAATTTTTAATTTCTTATATTTTTGAACGTCTCCGATGTCATCGAAAGCGAGAGCAAGAACAAGTAAAGAGCAAGCGAAATGACATATATCGTCAAAGAATTCCGAAGTCTCTTATATACGTGAGGGACTTATTCCTTTATTATAGTAAAAAACAATAAAACACGGTTAAAATTATAGAGAAATATAATTAATTATGCTTATTAATTTGTCTATAATAGCTTTTAATGTATACATTGATACGCACTAGCGCATCCAACTGAATTCATAAATTAAAAAATTAATTGAATAATATAATTATAAAAAGAAAATTAATAATAAAAAGCAGTATAAATGAAAAGTATGATTTGATACTTAAAATGCTTAATACTTTTGTTTCAAGAATAAGAAAAAAGTGAAAGCAATCTATTGTAAATATCTTCTATACATTATTTAACAATTAAGAAAAAAATGATTAAGAAAATTTATTTAATTTTACATGCGCATATACATAAAAATACTTCAATTGTAATTTATTATCGCTGTAGTATATACTAGAATGACAAAACATCACGCGCAGCTAATAAAACATTAATAAATCCATAATTTCTCCGTATTTTTGATCCACAATTATGTATTTAGCACCAGGACATGCACCAATCGGCCATTTTACCGTGGCACCAAAAAGTGAATCTGACCATGTAATTCTGCCGGCTCTAAAATAAATTTAATTGACGCTTCTATACGAGCTAGAAAAAGTGCCTTTCGAAAAACGGCGGCATGGCCTCTCTCATGCTTCTCTCTGTTTTTACTTTAATGATTAAAGGTTTCACATTGTCACCGCGTGGGGTCTCTAATATCAATTCGAAGTTTGCCTGAGTTTGCCTGTCACTCCTGCTGAGCTGACTAGCCGACTGCTTTAATGTTTTGGTAAAATGGCGCTCACCGAGGTTTGTGGTATCGACTCTTTCGTTGATTTTGGCTATTTGCGAGAAAAGGATAAGATTGCCGGCGAGATTGAAGCGTACACGAAAAACTTCAGCAATAATCTTCATCTGGCGGTGCCGCCGTTTATAAATGTAAGCGCATAATGATATAAAAGACAATTGTGTAACATAAATTTGCAGCATCATGCAATGGTTCATATATATTCTGCAGCACATAAATGACACCGTTGCAATCTAATAATTTGACATAAGTTATTTTGCATTGTCACAAGTATGGGAGGGTTTAGTTATAATATTAATACTATGAAAAACTAATGTCAGAAGTTGAAAAGCGAGTCAATCTTTAAGATTCCATTTTCTATGCCTTTTATGTTGAAAAAATTTAAGTATATGATATAAGAATATGTGATTATATTTTAATTTTATAATCTTTTTTTATATATATTTGTATATTTGTAGCCAGCTGAAACTCTCGGTCGTATAGCTGCAGGCACTGATGAAACTGGGAAGCACCTGAAGATCAAATTTGATCATGGAACCACAACTTTGGGCTTTCAATATCAGGGTGGCATCATTCTGGCAGTGGATTCACGTGCAACAGGAGGGCAATTTATTGGTAAAACACATTTCATGTCCCCTCAATTGATAAATTATATCTTTGATAATAAAACAATTTAAAAATTTCTAGTTATTGATAAGACTAATTCTTACCTTGTTTTTCAGGTTCATCCACCATGAAGAAAATAGTGGAAATCAATGACTATCTCCTTGGCACATTAGCCGGTGGTGCTGCCGATTGTGTCTATTGGGACCGTGTTTTAGCAAGGCAATGCCGCATGTACGAACTTAGAAACAGAGAACGCATTTCTATTGCAGCAGCGAGTAAACTCTTGTCGAATATGATTTATAATTTCAAAGGAATGGGCTTGAGTATTGGTAAGATACCATTCTTGACTCATGTTACAAATCTAAGCACTGTAAATTATGTGAAAATTTATAAATATAATTGCATATAGGTATGATGCTGGCTGGTTGGGACAAACGTGGTCCTGGACTTTATTATGTTGATTCCGAGGGCACTCGGACTCCAGGAAAAGTTTTTAGCGTAGGTTCTGGATCTGTATTCGCGTTTGGTGTATTGGATTCAGGTTATAGATGGGATTTAACTGATGAGCAGGCTTATGAACTTGGAAGAAGATCAATCTATCATGCTACACACAGAGACGCCTATTCTGGTGGTATTATAAGAGGTCAGTTATAAAATAATAGGAAATATATTTTGTACAAAATAGCTGCAATGTCTTAATATACATTTCATTTTACAGTATATCACATGAAATCAACTGGCTGGGTACACATCTCTGATCAAGATTCCAAGGATTTGCATTATGCCTACCAAGCTGAAAAAGCAGCGGAGCAGCCAAGCACGTCCTCCTAGATCTAATATATACATTGTACACATACTAATTGTTTATGAAATAAAATGATTTCTATCTATATAATTTACACTAAATCATTTATCAATTGACACTACTATTTCAGTGTGTATTATACATTTTTATTAAACATAATTTCCACAGTTTTGTTAAACCTTTAATTTCATCTAAGTTTTTCAGCTCGTATGTTAAAATTGAAACATAATTTTTCAATAAATTCTTTTCACATTCTTTATATATTTCATATCACATTGTAAAATGATATTGAATGTCTTATTTGGTTCTGATATTAAAGGAACATAATTTGGACCATACATTATTAGGAACATACATTTAACTACAAATTTCTTAATTAATTTCTGTGATTATATTTCTCTAATTATTATGTATGTGTACGTTACATGTAAATCATATCGCGGGCATATAGGTATATGTCATTGCGTGTGTATTCAAGATGAGACACCGCGAAAGGAGTATAAACGACGCGTAGTAGTAATCCCCTCTCCGCGTTCGAAAACACGACGCATATGAGGCAAGTTGGGTCGGTTACCATTACCACTATCACTCAATCATCATTGGATCAGCGAAAGAGCGGTGTGAGTGCAACAACGAGCAACGAAGCAGTAGCAACATATTGCGAAAGAAATTCGATCGAACGTAAACTGTTTGATCGATCTAAAGAGGACAGAATGTCGAGCGGAATGGATGAATGCAAACTGAAGGGTGGTCATCCTCCGGCAGGTTAGCGATTCCCTTGCATTTCTATCGCTACATAACGTGGCCCAGATTAATGCGCGTTTACCGATCTGTCGAAATTCACCTGTCTCGTTCGCAATTTATTTCAAGGTCGACCTTTCGCTCGAGTCATTTTTAATGCGCATTTTAATACGCCGCGTGTTTGCCTCTTTCAGTAAAGGCGGGCGGTATGAGGATAACCCAGCACAAGACGCCGAAGGACGAACGCGAGATGAAGCCTAGCAAGGATGTCGAAGAGAGCAGACCGTCTAGCAGGTAAACATAAATCAACATCTTTTCTTGTGACGCATCGTGCAACGTGTCACAACACTCATTCTTTAACATGGATCCGGTAATTAGCCGCTTTCTTGTCAAAAACAAGATAACAGCTGGACCGCAGACGGCGGCTCGCGCACACGACCGGTTTTAAGAGAGGCGACGGGGGGGGGACACGACGGGAAAATTTAAATTGTTCATACAAAGGAATCGTTTATAAATCTAATATCTAACAATAAGATCGACTCCATAATTATAACTTCGATCTTATTCGGATATAACACGCAGCTTGCCATATCTCAAATATACGTGTTTATTTTTGTTTTTTATATCTTCAAAAGATACAAAAAATTGTAAGATATAAAAAATTTACGCGACCCCGCTGATTAATTCATGCCTGTTTATCCAATTCTGACGATAAGCGAAATTTTATGTTTACATAACATAATATTGTGCAATCGAAAATAAACATGTTGCATCTGATTATGAATAAACATCTGCACTGAAAATGCGAATCCGTATTCATACGAAGCACAAACCAATTTAGACTCAAATAATTTAATGATTAATCATGCATGTTGTAGCACAAATATCATAAAAAAATTTATCTCCTTTTGTAATAAAAAAAATACTTTAAAAAATTTTTAATCATATAAAAGAATATGTAATATAAAAAAATCAATAATCGATATAAAAGAATATGCAATATACAAAATCTGTTTTTAAAGTGAAACTTGGTTACTGATTCAACGACATTAATCATTGTTTGCAACTGATAACGATAACATATCGTATATATAAATGTTTGCTTAATACAGGGTATCAATATCTTTACTTTTTCGATAAAATTATTAAAATTGTGAATATTTTATTGTATCGATATCGCTTGCAATAATCAAGAAGACAAAACAATGTGTCCAACAGTAATCCTTCAAATATAAACAGGAGAAAATATATACATCTTAAAAATATACCATTTATACCCAATGTGCTGATGCTTTGTATACAAACTTGTATATAACTTTGAAGTATTGAAAAAGTAACACAAATTAGAAGTATCTCGATGCTATCCCATCTCTAGTCGTATGTGGCGGGAAAAGATATTTTAATGTTTTTGCAGTCCGCCGAAGACGATAATGATTAGCGGTGTCCCAGCCAAAGGGAAGGCCGATTTTCCGCCGGAAGCTGTGCAACACTTTCATGAGAAGCCTACACCGACGCATGATGCACGACTGGCGCACTATTCGCGTCCTATTATCATTCAACAGCCCAGAAAGTGAATTGCATTTTGCAAATCATACATTGAACTAGTGGATCTCGGTCCACAGAGTCATCCGTTGAGTTTACGCGAGAAAGAAAATTATAATTATATAAATATATATGGGAGATATAAGTAAGTGTGTGTGTGTATATATATATATATATATCTACACACACATACATACGTATAAGCGTACTTAAAAGTCTTTAAAAAAAGGTTAAAATCGAAGAATTTGGACTTCGTGCGGTAGTTTTGCGCTACTTGATTCTTGATCTTTTAACCGATGATTATTATTCTTTTTACAACTAATTAACTCTATATATACACATACATATATATACACACACATACACACACACAGAGGGTGTCCGATAATAACCGTATCATCTCTCGTATGCAGGTAGAGCAGGTAAAGCCGAAAAGTCCTTTATCATTTTGCGATTTCCGTAATAATTATTAAAAAATTAATTAAAAAAGACCAATTCGCGCAGTAACCTTCTTGGTTTCACCTGCTCTACCTGCATATATCAGTTATTATCGAACACCCAATAGAGTTAGTTAGATTGTCATAACTATCGGTTAAAGAATTAAGAGAGCACGATTTCGTATACTTGGGTATTAACCATCTTGCGAGAGATTACTATATTGTTAACAATGAAAAAGGAAAGTTTATTTTTTTGGACGCCACAAGATTCCTGCATCGGCATTTAAGGGGCTTTTGCGAGTATATTTTTGACTCGTTATCATTTTTATTTTATCGTTCCTTTTTACAGACACAACATGTTTGCTATGATTATATTAAGTATTATTGTAATACGATTACGCAATATGATCACTATTTTTGGGACCAGTATATACTGCGATTCATGATAAAATTTTTGCACTTGGTTACATTTTCAACTTTGTGCAATCTTTTTTCTTTTTATTTTAGTATCCACCTGAGCATAGAATAGAAATTCACAACGCGTTAATATTATTTTGGATTTCAGGGAATTAAAATTTTTCGTTGATGTAAATATCAAGACTATAAATGTCGAGTAAGATTCGTAATTGGCGACAGTTTGTATAACACTTTAGAGAGAATAAACATTCGTATATATACGAAACTAATGGATTGCATTTTAATTTTTTTTATCTATATTTGTTGGAATTATTATTAATCATTCAAGATGCACAAATTAGGATTCAATTATTCTATAATAAAACATTTATTTGTTATATAATAAATTAATATGATAGAAGTGAAATAATAACTTCATGATACTCACTGATGATATTACAATGTTATCCTAAAATCCACAGAATAGGAAAAAGAATCATTATTGACTTTTCTGAGACACACTTTGTTGTTTTATATATTCTTGCACAGTTTTCGAAATACTCTGCACACCATTGGTCACATAAGTTGGAGTATTGGACAGGAATTTTATGCTCGCTATGACTCCCTTATTCCATGATGATTTGACAGAGTTGGAAAGATCATCGGTACTTGGCAACGGCGGTAGCTATATGATAATTTAATAATTTTTTCTTAGATAAATCTAATAAAATGTTGGAAAAAAAAACAAGTACTATAACATAAATATGATATGCGAAAGCAAAAGACTCGTAATACCATTGTACATATAAAATATTGAAACTAATCATTTTAGATTTTATTCGACTAGTTTTGACTTTATTATTAAATGTCAATATTTAATAAGGATTAAATTATTATATTATCTAAATATGCTGAAAAATTACATGCTAAATATTGCAGAATTTGTTAAAACACACCTCGTTCACGACTTCCTTGGGAATGTTGTCCTTAATATAAGGCGCAACATTATTATAGATCTTTCCGTACAATTGCACACTGTCTTCGGATTTGGACCACAGGCCCTGATGAACACTATAATAAACAATACCTCCTACGAGGGTGGCTTTGACAGCGAACCTGTAGACATAACCTCTCGTCATGACTCGATTTCGATTCGTAGAACAATATAGTGTGCGAATACCGTGACAGCGTATCTTCTCTACTCCTCAGCGAATGTACTAACCGCACGATACCCATTATTCAGTCAGAAATCACCTCGGCAAGTGGATTCGATTTAAAACCCTCTAAAATCCGTCGTCTGTCATGTAAGAAAGTGAGACTTACGTAAAAGCCGCCATATTTTAAGTTATATCTCTCGATTCGAGATCGAGATTAATTCGTTGTTTATAACTATAGAGTGCGCTTCACTTGACGCCATTTTCGCTTTAAAATGCAAGATTCTCGTTCTGATTGGTCCGTCAGATGCTTCGAAGTGAAAATAACGTCAAGCAGAGTGCACCCTTGGATAAAAAAAGCAAAGATTTCTTTGCTCTGATTGGTCAATTAAACACTTTTTCGAATGGATCCAATAGTTCACGTTGTCAATTGGTCAATTCAATCATTGCTACTATTCATTTATGTATGACGATCAGTTAAAACGGAGCATAAAGTATAACTATCATGAATGGATCTATTCAATGGTTCAGTGTCTACCATTGTTCCGGGTTCCGGGTTCCGGCTCCGACTCCGGCAATATCATCATCTGTTGGTCTCAGTTTCTTCAGTGATGTGTTGGCGCATTATGAACGATTAGTGTATTTCACACATATCTTTTTTCTTTTTTTTTTTATATTATATTTTTCTTGTAATAATATATTACAATCGTATTATCGATAATACGTGATCTAAATTATAAAAGTAATGGTATTATCTCGGTTTATTCATTAAATTATTTACTTTAATCTTAAAGCTTGTGATCTACCATGGAGTTAAAGGTATTAAGAATATATGATGATTTTGTGTATAAAACAGTTTTACTTTATAGTAAAATAATAGAATAAGTTAAACGGTATATTTGTTTGTCATATTACAGTATATTGATAAGTTATTACAATGTGGGATATGTTACGAGTATATGGACACTAGTGTGATAACTTCGTGTTCCCACAATTGTAAGTAATTGTGTAAAATCTTGTATGTTATTATTCCTATTGTACAAATATTTTATCTTTTACAATTTTAGATTGTTCTCTATGCATTAGAAAGTACTTACATTATAAAACACAATGTCCAATGTGCTTTGAAGAAATCTTTGAGAAAGATTTACGAAAAAACAATCTTTTGGATGAAATAATTATTCATTATTTGAATTTTAAAGACAAACTTGAAAAGAAAATTTGTCAGAAAAAGGAATTGACTGTGGAAGATAAAAACTTTGAAAACATATGCTCTTCAAATAATTTTGAATGTAAGAAAAAACAAAATGTTCCTGACATAAATGAGATATTGGACAAAAGTTTTGACAGTCCAACGTCCATGGCTAGTAATACTACACCTCGTGGGCAAAAGAATTATCAGCAAAATATATCTACTCCTAGCACTAGTACAGAACTTAGGGTACCTTCAATGTTTACACCAAAGAGAAAAAGTTTACAAAATGAGGAAAATCAGCCAGTTACATGTCCAGTGTGCAAAGTAGATGTTTCTCAAAATAATATAAATAAACATTTAGATGATTGTTTAAAAAGGGAGAATACAAAGAATCAACCTAAAAAGTAAGTACATATGTATATTATTATTTTGTATTATTATTATCTCTGAAACTTTTAAAGAAAATTATGATGATTTTAATGTTTTGCATATCGTAATATATATTTCATGCAATTTTTTTTCAAATACTTGTACTTATTTGTAGAAGTGAACCAAAACGTAAACCACTGCCAAAATTAGTATTAAGTTTAATGAAAGATAATGTTATACGAAAAAAATTAAAAGAATTAGGTTTATCATCTCAAGGAGACAGAAAGGCATTAGAAAACAGACTACAAAAATACATTATTCTTTATAATGCAGAGTGCGATAAAATAAATCCTAGATCTGTATCGGAATTAATTAAACAGTGTGAAGAAGAAGAAAATTTGGAGAAGAAAGTACAAAAACCATTAAATGTGAATATATTATGTAGTGTAAAATATTTTACATATACATTTGCTTAAAATTTTTTATATATATTAATGTAATATATTTTACAGAGATTAAATGTCAATAGAAATACAGAACATAATATTATAGAACAGCAGAGAAAGAAATATTGTAAGTATTCTTGAATTATTTGTACATATAGGTGATTAGAATATAAATACTCTTCATATTTCTTGTTTTTTTATTTTTAGTGGTTGCAAATAAGGATAGTTATGATCAACTAATTATGGAAATGAAACATCCTAATAGTTCACGGAAATTGCCTGTTAGGCGCAATATATTAAGCAAAGAAAATTCTGATGTTCCATATAAAGACTGTGTTACAGACAGCACTTCAACTATTAGAGATGGCGAGAAAAGCAATCTTTTAGCTCTGAAATCTTCCAATGAAGATTCAAACATATCTTGTTCCAGTATGAATCCCATAAATTTTTTAACAATCGAATTATCTTCCTCATCTAATGATTCCAATGATCACTATGCTTCCAATCTTATCTCAAATGATTCATGTAAAATTGAACCAGTTTTATCTAATTTTATTGTAAAAACGGAAAATATAAAGAATGAAGAACTATTATTTCCCGAAAATACTGTAATACATGAAGAGACAATTTCTAGTAAACAATCAAGAGAATGTAACGCTACAGAAAATGGAATGGATACTGATAGCAAAGAATCAATTTCTGCACTTATCAGACTTGAATCAGAGAATAGAAGAAAACATAAGTTGTCTGTGAAAAGAAGTAGAAATAACATGAAGTGTAGCCCAGAGAAACGTGTTGCATATTCCGAGCCTAAAGATAGGCAGAAGGATTCATGCAATGAAGAAATAAATTCAGTTGTAGAAGATATTGAATATTTTATAGGAGACAGTGACAATAGTGACATTCAGGATTATGGTAAATAACCTCTAATATTTTAAAAGTTCTAAATAAAAGTTATTTTTCATTTCAATTATCATTAATCTATTTTTGTTAGGATGATTGAAATCTTCATGAAAGAGATTTGGCTTTTACAGAGAGATCCAAGGACGGACAATTATATAATGTGACAGAAAAGTATACGTCTGACTGTACAAAATTTGAGAAAGAAAACTTGGAATCATCAGATGAAAATATAAAATCTTACATTTTTCGAAAGCGGGAACGCGAAATGACATTCACGTCAAGTGACAAAGAAAAAATTATAGATAAATCGACGAATGCGAGGAAGTCATTTAGGTTTGGCCTTAGCGAAGCTAGAGGATTTAATAATGAAAATTTCGAAGATAAGATGCAGGATGAAGAAAAATTACAAAATGAGAAGGAACCATTACATGTAACTCGCAGTTATGTACAAAGACATCTTAAATTAAAAAGTAAAATTAGTAATGATATGAAAAAATTAACTAATTGAATCATGGAATTAAAATAATTAAATAATTATGGAAATAAATAAACTTTTATATATCTTGTTGAGGACTATAAAATAAGTAGTTGATCTACACAAAATTATAGATATTTTGCTTTAATCGTTATATATAATATATTTTCCTTGATATATACAAATTGCTTTGATATGAAAAGAATATAAAAAAAATAAAAACAATTAAATAAAAAAACAAAAGTGTATTATATATATGTTATTATTGAGTGTGTACTTCTGCTACCTTATCCACGCACACATATTCTTTAGTTACAGCATATTTTTAAATATTATATAGCGATATATATATTCTTATCTATGCTGTGTTTCAAATAGATTTCAAAATTACTTAACATATAAATCAACATATTGATTTTCATTTAGATATCGTAATATGTTTTGAATAATTTGGATTATACAAAGTATTTGATTTTTCTATGTTATATTATGATCTAACAAGATTGTGAAAGAAAATAAAAACTGTTCTATCAAATCACTTTGACGTTTGGTAAGTGGTACATACGTTATCGAAATTTTTATCAAAGACATTAAATTTTATTGAATATATTATTTTACATTATTTTGAACAGAAAAGGAGGCTAATACAGCGATGAAACGATCGGCGCAAATCTCAATAAACTTGCATATCTATTCCTAGACATTAACAATAATTTAATAAGCTTAACATAATGTTTCCAAATATAGCTGCACGTTTACGCACCGTTTACCGATCGCTTACACAGTAAAATATACATTTTTGATATTACATAACTTTGATATTCGTATACTTTGGTATTGATTTATACAATTATACAGTTAATTTTATTTACATACGTGTAATTCACTATAAACTTTGATACTCATCTAAGTTCGTAGATTTACAAGTGCTAACGTTCTAAACGGAACGGCTATCACACTCATTATATATCGTTCTCACTTAATTCTTATTTAACGTTATTGCACTGTTACAGTCTATTAAACTTTGTATCGTTATCGACACTTTCCTGTTTTACGTACGAAGCGCATCGTTACTACAGGAACGAAAATTTTTCTATGATTTCTAAGGTTTAGGAAGCATTTCTAATATAGTAAACGGTTTTCTGCATTTTAACAAACTTTTTGTCTAAAATTCTTATATTTGATGTTTTAAAGAGTATTAACTATTTAGCAGAATTGCTAATCATTTTTGTTTCGATCATCTTGCATTACATTATTTTCTATATAATTAGAGGAAATATTTTTTCTCACATAAAATATCTTTTACTTAAACACAGATTCGAGCATAATAATCTGTTTTGCTGTGGTATGGCATCACGCGAGGTAGTTACTCGAACATTAATACATTTTCTCCAAGTATGCTACAAGTGACTCTAACTTCTATCCTGTATGTAATTGTCGATTTCTCTTGAAGACAGCAGGAAGATCGAAATATCAGATACGTGAGACATTGTCTTACAAATAATAGCCCAATTTATTTATCGTTAGATTCATTAACGATTCATTCATGATATTCACATTCATAATAGCTTATAAGTAGATTGTCCTTTGATTTGCTAAGAGACCAGAGATAGTAGTTTTGAAGAAGTGAAACGGCGAAGATTATCTTTGCCGTAAAAGGCCAATTGTCTCTTATTATTTAATTAGTTAAAGAGAAACTCCTGAAAAATAAATTATTTCTCTGACGTGAATAAAGAAACTATCTTATCATACATTTTTTAAGTACGTATATTAATATGGTTGTAGATTCTCTTTTAATTACGGATGGACCAAGTTAAAGCCGAAATGTAAATTAGTTATCGTGCGATAAATTTACTTCGTATGAAGTAAATTTCACATGTAAAATTAATTAATTCACATTCCGTTGATGTAAATTCGCGATAAAATATCAATGTCAAGCTCTTTTAATAAAATTATACTGTGTGGGATAAAAATATATGTACACGATAGATATTTCGTACAGTGTATAGTGCAGCTTTATTTTTAAAAGAGAATTGGAAAAACTATCGTATTTTCTGAAATATTTGTGTGTGTGTATATATATAATCTTATTTTAATTTTAGTTTTATAAGTTTAATTATTTCAAAGGTATTACACACACACACATACAAGGAAAAATAAAATTATATTTTATAGGCGTTAAACATTTTTTAAAAAATAATTTTGCTATTTAAACTCATTTTTCACAGCTATTCTTTTTATTGGATAAGTTTGATAGGATACGTTATTTACAAAGATATGTAGGATATACTATAAGCTCATAGACGCGAGAATTTCTCTTTTTACGCTCAATACTTAAAAGAATACCTTTACAACTTTGTACATACATATATATCGCAGTTTCGAAACTCGAGATCATTTTCTCGATAGATAATCAATTTCGACTGAGTGGAACACGTCTCATCTTGCAATAAGTACGTGGTTTTCTTTTCAATTATATTTTGATTAATTCTTTTGATTCTCGAATTCATTAAAACAATGTTTCGCGTACTAATCGTAAAAGGATACTGCTTTTCGAAAATATCGCAAATTACTAGAAATATTATTAATAATAAGTGCCAATAATTAACCAAAAAGATTCAAGCTTTCGGAATGAGAGCACTTCAATTATCCTGCCATCAATGCACAATCTGTCATAATCGACATGTCGACATGTCTTTTTGTGATGGTAGCTGATGAATTTGTTAGAATACTGCAATTTCAGCGGAATTTCAGTTATAAATTAATATTGATTTGTGAGGATTGGTTGATTCGCACGCAAAGAAACGACTGAAAATTCAACACGAATTTTCTTGAATGACATATCATTTCAGATCTCCAGCGTTTAGTTCCCTCCGGAAGATTTCTACAAGATTGAGTGACTTTCTATTTCCGGAGACATCTACTAGAAAATTATCAGAATGGCATCTGCGAATTTTTTTCTCTCATCATCTTCCTAAACGGTAGTCTTTTGTAATCGATTAAGACACGAAAGACGATTTCTCTTCGTTATCGACTGCTATCTTTTTGGTGCAGTAAGATTATCTTACTTCTTCATGAACGATTTTTGTCATTGATAATGGCGCGAATTGTGACCCATTCTTCTGGCATTGAGAATCCATCGATTTATTATAGCTTTTTATTATACTAACAACATTTATAATCTCATCTATTCATTTCTTAATAATTACTGCTTTTCTCCTTATTTCTATCTTCTCTTATTATCTAAATTTTAATGAAAATTTTATTGAAAAAGATTAGCATCTTTATCTGATTTCTTGGTAAAAGCCTTTTTTATGTCCGATTCATGTCTAAATCTTCAAATCTATCATTGCCTGTCCATAAAGAATATACCAATCAAATCGTACCTTTTATGGTTGTTCTATTTCGATGTCGCACTGTACTACTGTTACGTTATATTGTCTCGTTTTGATCTCCTCATCACCGTGATACCTATCGAACCACGTATCTTGCGTAACAGATCTATTATATCAGCTGTCGACATGTGTTCCACACTCTCCTCATTAACCTGGTGAAGAAATATTTTTTCTAGAAATAGATATATGTGAACAAACTCACTCAATGTGAACAATTTTGTATCAATCTCTTTAATCTCTACAATTCTCTCTAAATTTATATGTTCAATAAATATTATTTGTAAAGAATCAGTATTGTCTTAAATTTATAATTAAAATAAGATGTAAAAGTCAAAGGAAAAGTTAAAGCACATAAACATATACATGTTATTAATAATATATAAATATTATTTTAACTTTATGATATTTTGTACATTTTATGATATAATAATGTGATGGCTCTAAAATGTATCCTATGGAAAAAAAATTGAGAGAAAATAAGCTCGCGACGAAAAGGACTCACCATCAGTAATACGTCGCCCTGCCTGAGTCTACCATCTTTGGCCGCGACACTGTCGGGATGCACGACCGATATCACTGTACAATTTCCTTCCGGCTGCAAGCTAAAGCCCAGCCGGCTGTTCCACCCACGCGTCAGCTCCACCATGAACACCTGTAACAGCGAGTGCGGATTGCGCAATATTGCGATGTTGCATTCTTATGTCTTCGTATATCACGCGATTTCATGCATTCCAAGATCAAAATCAACTGAATAACAATGCAATTATTTTAATAAAATGAATCGCTTAACGCGAGGCTCTTATCACGAAATTGAACTTTGCACATTTATTCCTGTTGAAATAAAATCAATTATAAAGAAAAGCAATTTTTAAAGATGCCAACCTCGCTGCCTTGCTCAAGGTCTTCAGCAAGAGCGACTGAATCCGTGGTGTCTTTCCCGGTTTGTTCCGGATTGTGCTCAGTATCTACTTCATCGTTTGGAGCGAACATCACGCCTTTCCACTTCAGTAATCCTTTGCTACCGCCTGGATCGTCTGTTCCCAGGATTTTTCCTGTGTGACAAGACAAAAAATCGAGATCATTGGATTGGAAATAATGCTGACTGTATGTAATCGCCGCAAACTTGCTAAGTTTTGCAGTAATATGACTGTTATCTTATCTCTGTCTCCCTCTACTGCATCGATTTATTTTCAATGATTGAGATACAAAGTCAACCATGCGTGAATCATACTTCCACAAACAATTTTAACAATAACCATTAATTGCAAACTTATTTCATATTAATATCGCTTCAAATCTGCATTGAAAAAAATTCAAGCCCTTATGTACTTAAGAGATTACAAGCTTATTGTCATAAGAGTTTAATAACAATATGGATTTAAAACAGTTCAAAATTAAATTTTTTTTAATGTTATGTAAAATATACGCTTATATATAAATTTATAAATTATAAATTCATTAACAAGAAAGATCAAAAAAGAAAACTTGAGCCTCAATTATATTGCAAATTTGATGCAAATTTGAACAACTGGTGTAAAGCATTAAACGAGAATTTAATGAGTATTGAAATAATTTAAATATCGAATACATAAAAAAAAAAACAAATCAAAACTCATATTAATCGATCCCATTAATTCTACTTCTGAAATAAATAAGATAAATAATAAGAAAATGTAATCTCGAATAATTACCTGGTATGTCCTGATCGCTGGAGTGCGTGGTTTTGTTCTTAGGTCCAGCTGGGTCACTGACGGCGCTGCCGCAGGCCGGATTGGCACTCTGGTAGGCCGGATTCTTATAGCTGAAAGCAGCGGTGCTGGTACTGCTGGTGGACGACAGCATTGGCGGCATGGAGGCCGGCTCGGACGGCAGATCATTGTCGTGCTCGTCGCTCGACATCACCGTCACGCTCCTGTCGTTACTGTAGTTCGGTTCGGCTAGCCGTCCTCGCTCTGCTTCCGCGAGGATGACATCGCCGTCGGCGGGATACTCACTGTCCGAATCAACGCTGCAGAACTGAAAGTGCGGCTTACCTTGCGGCGCCGACAAGTCGAGGAAGCTTGGTCTGGCCACCGCAGCATTGTTAGACGTCGGTTTCGACATCTCATCGTCGTTATCGTCGTAAATGTCGTAGAGCGGCGGTGGATCGATTATGTCGGTCGCAGGTGTGTTTGCTTGAGAATTGGTGATCTGCGTCTTGACGGAACATTGGTCCGAGTCTGACGCAGTCTCCGCTTGGCTGGCTGTCGACGACGTCGTTTGCACGTCATGCAACTTACTCTCGGGAGTTTCTATGTGGCATGGAGAATACTTGTCGTGAGGAGACTTATTGTAAAGTCCTATCATCGAGGATTGCCTTGATCCTACACGATCCAAGATAATGCCGAGAGACAGTTAATGTTGAATGTTCCATTGTTACTTTAACGTTACTGGAAGTTTCTAAAACAATAGCTGTTCTCCGCCAATTATCTCGATTTGTACAGTCTCAAGAAATATACTTCATAAATTACTCTCATATCTTCGAATATATTTAGAAAGTAAAGAGATTTTTTTGGAAAGTATAAAGATTTTTTGATTGTATGAGGCTAAAGATGATTATTTATTGATAAGTAATCTGCATATTCTTTTAGAATTATTGCCTACTTATACTTCCTACTCATACTGTTCATTAATTACTTGACGATACCTTGATTCGTTTCGGCAGTGGAAGTACGCGTGGCAAGTCGACGTAGTCTTCGGGGTGAGTTGCATGAGGCACCGGGTGACTGTTGTTTGCAACTACTAGAACCGCTCGATGTACCTGGTGACAGCTTTCGGACTGCTAAGTCACACAGCATGTCCACGGCTTCTTGTCTATCGTAAAAATAATATAGAAAATATGGCCCATAAATTATTGTATAAAACACTATAAACGCTCGTACTTCCGTACGATATGTGACAATATCAAAAAATAATTTTAAATATTAACACGAGCGTCCGTGAACTTTTACCGATGATATTTTTTTACTAATATCTCTTTGGAAAAGAAAGAATAAAATGAGTCTGTATGTGATTCGGTTATGTTACTGAAGAAACCGATTGCGCGGATTTTAGATATACCATAAAGGAATATCCACAAGAGATAGAAATAAGATCAGATGTGCCACATAGAAGAAAAAGATAATTCTTTTATAGATCAACGAATATAAATAGTAGAACGAGGTAAAGAGAAATAGTAATAAAATTATATAAGATTTCTATAAATTTCGCTTAAATATTTACATGACCACAATTATCATAATTTTTTATAAATAAATTATTTTGTCGATTCTCTCTTTATTGGATATCTTACTCCATATTCAATATCAGTACTAATATTCTAATCACTTTTATATTATTTTCCAATATCAAATATGTATTTTAATTCTTAAATTTCAAAATAAAATTCTTTGCAAAACAAAGTAATAAAAAATTATTATTTCTTTAATTAGTAAAATCAATTTTCTCGAGGACAACATCACATAAGAGAAAAATTTATTTTACTTTTCCGATTAATCTTTTCTTTCATCCAGAATTATCTTTTCAATTACAATACCATCAGTTACAGATATCCTGTATAGAAATGTTAACTTAATAAAAATTTTAAGTAACTCAATTTTTTTTTTAAATTTAGATACCTCAAGCTCGTTCGTGGCGGACGGAGGGGATGATCGGGCTCGGTGGGCGAGAGCGCCGAGACTGGAGTCTGCGCCAAATCGCGGTACAGCCGCAGTTTTACCGTTGGTCCGCATTGTCGCAGCAGCTGAACC